GTTTGGTTGAAATTGGCCCAGTAGTTCTTGAAAGAAAATAAAATGTGAAAAGTTTACATTGTGATCAGAAAAGCTCACTTGAGCCTTTGGCTCAGGTGAGCTAAAAATGTAGAGTTTGGGAGCTAGTCTAATAGAATAATGTTCAGTTGATTTTTAGCCGAACTTATAGCTCAAAGAGCAATTGCCGGCTTATGTCATCCTGTTCAAGACAGGATGTCAACCCCATAGTCGCCATTTTAAAGTTACGTGTAAAAATATAGTTCTTACTCTCAACCGCTTCTGAGATAATACAAATGCTAAATAAAGCAACATAAATAAAATGAAGTTTTATCTCAATAAATAAACATTAGACTAGTAGTAATGACTTTGAAAACTTCAGTCTTAAGTCAAAGAACATAGTTTATTAGCGTAAGGATTTCTGATAATCAGTGTTATCGTACTTCTCTACACTAACGAGGAAACACAGGAGAGGGAACCAGACTGGCCTGTTTGTTTACGCTCAGCTGCGGTACCAGATTAATTCTGATTCTGACAAAATCAGACCGTGGTATTTGGATCGAAGACTCACTGTCAGTTTCTTATTCAGTGTAATTTATATTGCTAGTTTTAGAATAATTTTTTCAACAGAATTTTTAATCTGATATTCTTGTTATTTATCTGTTAATACAATATAAACGTATGATTCATGTAAGAAATTCATTTTACTCTGTAAATGAGCCCGGCTCTCTGTACTTCTGAGTACTTTGATTAATATTTAGCAACAATTAAAATTCTATTTTCAGTAATTATTTCATAATTCAAAGAGTCTTGTTCCATTTTGTTTATGATAAAGAAACTACTGTACACTTTTACCAGTATACGATAGTGATACCATTACTGTTACACATGCACAATGTTAAGATCACCTGGATATATGCCAAATATTACAGAAACCAAGATCCTAGATCTGTCTCTATGTTAATTGTAAACAGGAGACAATTAGGACATCATCTTGTAATAACTAAGAAAACTGACCAGAAAGCAGGGGCCTATCAGAGGGGTAGAAAGGGTGTAGCTTAATTAAACAGATAAACATTTGATATTAATTGGGAAAAAAATTAAATAAAAAGGAAATTTTAAAATACTGTAGACATACTTTTTTCCACAGGGTCATAATTCCGCGGAAACTCAATTTTTTTTTAATCTGCGTGTAGAAAATTCCCCAGATTTCTTAGACTATCACTATATGCCTTACATTTATATTAAGTACGCTTGAACAAATTTCCTCGGAAATTTGTGACCGCGTACATAGCGTAAATTAATACCATGCTGAAAAAAGGACTGCTACATTATATGAAGAGTATGAAATGACTGTATTCATAAAACTTAAAAACTATATGTGGTATATTAAATATTTTAAATTTGCCCCCACATAAGTCATATTTTGAAAGTTTGTTGAAATGTTCTGAATTCTATATATTCTACGAGAAATCTAAATCTAAATTAACAAAAAATATTTTAGTTCCTTGGTTATTGACAACTTTTGTTATGACCTCAATAATCATTTGGAGTAATTTGTCTAATTTTTTAGGAAGAAGATAAAAATGGACAAAATCTGCTCAGACAAATTATACTATAAAATTGATAAAGTGCAGGCCTGCTTCCAGAACAATATTAACGTATTTCATTGATATTATCATTCTACACATTATTTCAAAATATTGATCTGGAGCAGACTTGCGCTTGGTGACTTTTACTGTAAACTGTGACTTGATTTGAATTTTTGTTGAATAAATATAATTGTACTTATTAATTTATTTAGTTGATGTTGACTTTTTTATTGCTTCTTTACTCTTGCATAATAGTGATTTTGGATATATGAGTAATGACATGTGGTTCAGTACGGCCAGTTAAAATTAATTTCTTAACCTTAATCTATTGTCTCCTGGATTAAATTTTTTATATGTCATTCCTATGATAAAGAAGCTTAAATTTTACTTCCAAGACACAAAGATTGTTTTTTTTTTTTAATGTACAATTTTCACCAGAAATATAATAACAGGTTTATTTTGCTAGGACTGATCTTCGAAAGTAAATACCTCTTTTTTTGCAAATAAAATCGAAAATATAACAAATACGATCTCTAAAGACGTCTTTTATGTTGTGTATTTCAGAATACTGGTATAACTGCCATACTTCATAAAACTTTGCAGGGACAGTTTTGCAAAACCCATGAAAAATCGACATTGTCTGCACTGTGTATCTGCGCATGTGCGGACTCTTTCTTCAGAGTCTTTTTTAGTCTCAATTTCTTACTTCCGTTAACTTGGTTTGTCTAGTCTGCATGTCTAGAGAATGATGTATATTTTTCTTTTTGAAACAATATTTTCATGATTTACCTTGAATTGGACCATAGCATGACTGAATTAAATAAAAAAAAAAGTGAGCAAGCTCACATACCCCACACTCTGCCAAAACTCAAAGTGCCGAAAATCCCAGAAAAAATAAAGGAATCAGAATTCCCTGGGTCAAATGCACATCTACACATTGCGTCCTAAATATCTTCAAAGTTTGACTAAATTCTGTGCAGTAAGGCCATATAAAATTAATCTTTAGGAGTTGCCCGCCCCTCTCAAAATGTTCATCTCTATATTTTTTATTTTGATTTTTAGGTATTTTCAGTATTTTTATTCAGTAAAAAATTGGAATCAAATTTCCTGGTGCACATATACACACTGTGTTCTAAATATCTGCAAAGTCTATTTATAGCAAAAACGCCATGTTGATTATGAGAAAAATGTGCTAAAAGTTCATTTATATGTCAAAATATGGAAAAGAAATTTGTCAGTATAGAAAAGGCAGAGAAGAAAAAATAAACACATATAGAAATTTCACTGGCAATATGCACATCTACACAGATGTGTCCTAAGTAAAAATAGACAAAGTTTGACACCTAAATTTATATATAATGATCTACAAGCTGCGTGACTTTGCTTTGAAATAAAAAAAAGGACTACAACATGACTTTCTGACTTAAAGAAGGCCAGATTTTTCAAAATAATTATTAGAACATTTATATAGATTTTGCAAAATAAGAAGTCAGGCATACAAATTTATTGATATCATAAAAACATTTTGTTCATGGTGTGCCGTATAATGTGTACTTGATAATTTGTTAATTAACAATAAATATTTAATTTTTAAAGCAAAAATTTTCTTGGAATATTTAAAAGAATTAAATCTATTCATATTTGCATTAAGGTAATGAAAAATAAATGTGTACAAGTGAATATTGTTTTGTTGATACTTAGGCCTATATATAAATGCAATTTAATGTATAAAAAATAAAAAATAAAATCCGACTTTTTTTGCAAATTAGGTATGTCTAAAGATTAATTTTACCTGGCCTAATGTTGTTTATAAAATGCGCTGACAAACTGTTCATCTCTATATTCAAGATATCGCAAAAAAATCTGAGTTCACATTCGAAAAAATAAAGGAATCAGAATTTCCTGGTGCAATTACACACTTGTTCTAAAATCATGCAAGTCTGAGCAAATTCTATGCAGTTGATTATATTGTGCTGACAAACTGTTCATCTCTATATTCAAAATTGTGGAAATTTATGTTATTGTCAGGAAAAAATAAATTAGATTTCGTTTTATATGCACATCTAACATTGTGTCCTAAACATCAAGTTTGAATAAATTTTGTGCAACGCATGACAAGTGTAAATAAATGGACTTAATTTTAATTTTCAAGTTGAAACACTTGAACTTTATACCTCACACAACTGGTTGCGTGGGTTATAATAAAAATTATGATTCATAAAAACAAGAGGCCCATGGTCACATCGCTCACCTGGACAAGCTTTGAAAAAAAGTTCTTTAATTTCCCCCTTGTAATACATAATGCATCCCCACCCTACCCCACTGATCATGATTTAGACATTTTGAAATCTAGACTACCCCAGGATGCTTTCATGTGCACAGAAGTTTTAGCTTTTCTGGCCAAGTGGTTCTTGAGAAGAAGATTTTCAAAGATTTTTCCTATATATTTCTATGTAAAACTTTGATTCCCAATTGTGGCCCCGCCCTTCCCCTGGGGGTCATGATTTTTACAATTTAGAATCTACACTACCCCAGAATGCTTCCACTTAAGTTTCAGCTTTTCTGGCCAAGTGGTTCTTGAGGAGAAGATTTTTAAAAATTTTTTCTATATATTTCTATGTAAAACTTTGATTCCCAACTGTGGCCTCGCCCTTCCCCCAGAGGTCATGATTTGAACAATTTAGAATCTACACTACACCAGGATGCTTCCACATAAGGTTCACCTTTTCTGGCCCAGTGGTTCTTGAGAAGAAGATTTTCAAAGATTTTTCCTATATATTTCTATGTAAAAATTTGATTCCCCATTGTGGCCCCACCCTTCCCCCTGGGGTCATGATTTGAACAATTTAGAATCTACACTATACCAGGATGCTTCCACATATAAGTTTCAGCTTTTCTCACCCAGTGATTCTTGAGAAGAAGATTTTTTAATGACCCCACCTTATTTTTGTCTTTTCTTGATTATCTCCCCTTGTGAGGGGACTTGGCCCTTCATTTTAACAATTTAAATTCCCCTTTACCCAAGGATGCTTTGTACCAAGTTTGGTCAAAATTGGCTCAGTGGTTCTTGAGAAGAATTCGAAAATGTGAAAAGTTTACACACGGACAGACAGACGGACGACGGACAAAATGTGATCAGAAAAGCTCACTTGAGCTTTTGGCTCAGGTGAGCTAATAAAGTGCAGTAAAAGAAAGGCTTAATTTCCACTCCTGACCCAGTCAGGTTTTAATACCCATTTTACCAACATCCTCTTGTTGTCAAAAGTCAAAAGCACCCTCAAAAGACTCACATCTAAAATCTTTAATTTTGGGCCAAAAACAGAGCGATTCTAAAATGAATGCGCTTTATAAACAACTTAAAACATCATTTGCAAGCTGAAAACTTTTTTCCAATGTAATTTTAAGTCTCACCTGTACTGTTTTCCCCTACGATGGCCGACATATTTTTCTAAAGAATCACTGTCGTCTTTACTAGCCATACTGATAATTTGGCGAATATAACATTTAACAAAACATGAATTTTAAAAATTAGGCCTGATGATATTCATTTTGTAACAGATCTAGATCTACTGAAAATTTTCCACGTCAATCAGCTGATCGAAATCAAGAAATGACTTTTTATCTGTAAGCTCTCCAATCATGCTGTAGTTTCTTCTATGAACCTGTAAATTAACTCAAAGTTCCCATCGAATATTATTTATATCTCAATATCGATCTTTACACATCACAACAGCCAAAATTTGACAATTACTTCTCGTCTTTTGGTCCTGTGCGATATCGACCTCATCGAAACATCACATCTTTCAGACTCAATTTTGCCGAAACGGATAATAAATGTTACAAAACGATACTTCTAGGGAAAGTGTCAAAATACAAAATTCAAGATCCCTGTTCGCCCCTGTGCTACAGTTTCGCAATGAAAATTTATTTCGTGGTTTCTGTTATCCCTTTTCTTTTGGTGTGTTTTGTTGTGTGTGTGTGTGTGTGTGTGTGTGTGTGTGTGTGTGTGGGGGTGCATGCACAGTGTGTATGAGCGAACTCTCTCACTCTGCAGGGACATGGTATCATTTATCATATAAAACTAACAATAAAACTAACAAATAATTATACTAATCAATTAAAGAACTAATCATTAAAAAATAAACTCCATAAACAAATTTTTTTTTAAAAATGGAAATACACAACTTTTTTAACAACAATAGGCCCGTGGGACACCACATCATTCACCTGAGCACATGAGCTAGGTAAAACCACAAATAAGCTCAGTATTGAAAAGTTTACTTGGGAGGGGAGGGGGAGAGGGGCTACTTGAGAATACCACCATATCAATATAGGATAAATGTATTAATAATCTTTCCATTCTTGAAAAGAAGATTTTTAAAGATTTTTTTTTCTAGTACAACTTTGTAAACAAGAGGCCCAGGGGCCACATTGCTCACCTGAGCACTGTTAGGAAAAAACAAAAATCAGTTATAGTTTTAAAAAGCTTAAATACTTAAAAGGTCCCGACCTACCCCTAAAAGTGAGAGGAGGTATGATTTAAACAAAATTGAATCTACACAACTGAGTACAATAACATTTTTTTTTTTGACCAACTGACTTCTTTCCTATGAGTTTGAACTTTCATTGTGGCCCTACTCTACACAGGTGTTACGATTTGAACAGACTTGAATCTACACCACATGAGGACGCTTCCATATAAATATGACCAATCATAGCTTTGATGTTCTTGAAAAACAGATTTTTATGATTTTTCTGGATCCGCGCCTGTTATCGGCACATTCTCATCCACAGAAATGTCTTTTATGTTATATCTTTATTACCTAACAGTGTCTCTGTCAACTTTAAGGTTTCTTTTTTTCATCCTATCCCTTTTAAGGGGGCCGACTATAGTTTCCAATGCACAATATTTCGCGCATCATAGTAAAATGAAGCGTACTTACTGTTCAAATGCAACTTTTTTCACTTAATTATTAATATTAAACAAAATTAAGAAATTATAGGTATGAAAATGTAATTAAAATTTGATATAACTAATTTTTTAACCGATTTTGCAATTGATAGGTAAGTTGACATCCTTGCAGTGTGTTTTTAACGTTATGATAATCTGTAGCTCTTAAAGAAAGGGGTAATAAAAATATTATTAATGAAAAAGTAATAAATATATGCTGTTGAAATTTAAAACATAGAAATTTGAGAATATCTCCAATATTTTTACTATGTTTTCATGTGAATCCATTGTGTATGTCATATTTTGTAATACTCTATAAAAATAGTAAAATTTGCTAATTTTTTGAATTTTGAGATAGCCCCTCTGGTAACAAGACAGTAGAATTTTGTGTTTCTTACATATATTGTATAATATAGTATTATTCATCAAATATTATAGTTTGAACAAAATGTCTATTGTACTATTTGTATAAATTGCTTTAAGGTGGAATGCCACACCAACTTTTTATTTTTATAGATCTTTGAGTCATCCTTTTTAAACAAGGGTTTCAGCATTGAAAGGTCGATATTAGCTCTTAATTATTTTATATGAATTTTTTTGTATTTTTTCAAATAAAACGAAAAAAATTAATTATATCTAACTAAGATGTTTTCGAGTTAAAAGTTTGCTGTAAATGAATGTATCATATTAATATCTAATAAAACATGTAAAGAAAGGCTGGTTAGACTTTTTATTTTTTTTTTTATAAAAAATATTTATGAAAATAAAACAGATTATTTGTGAATATTTTTAAAACCTATGGTTAAAACACCACAAAACTAGTCGCAAGTGAGGAGCACATATTTGTCAATCATATTTTAAAAAGAAATTGAAATGAAATTAAGAAATTTTAGAGAAATTAATTTTATTTTTTTGATATTTGGACCTAACCCGATCAAAATTAAACTGATCCCAATCAAAATTAACACAAAATGAATAAACTACTAATTTATTGCCTCTTCATGTATTTACAATGAAGAAATCTATGTTATTGTCAAGTTTAATAATGTTTTAACCCTTATTACACCTAATCAGACTAGTGTTCTTTGGGAAATGTTATTTAATTCCAATAATTTTTGTGGTCATTTTAATTTTGATGGTCTCTCAAAATTTAAAAAAAATATTTCTCTAAAATTTCGCGATTTTGCTTCAATTTCTTTTATAAATATAATTAACAAACATGTTCTCCCCAGTTGTGACTGGCTTTAAGAAAATTCTAACCACAAATTTAAAAAATATTCACAAATTATACGTTTTTTTTCATAAATATTTTTTTATCTCAAAAATTTTAATATCTATAGGGCTTTTCTTCACATATTTTATTAGATATTAATGTGATGCATTCATTTACAAAAAATTTTTACAAGAAAGCGTATTATTTTGATGGAAATAATTGTTTTCATTTTCTTTGAAAAAATACAAAAAAATTCATATAAAATAAATGAGATATATATATATATATATATATATATATATATATATATATATATATAATATATATATATATAGGTCACCTGAGCATTATGCAACAACTTTCCAGTTACAGTGTATTGAATTTGATTCATGTTTTAAGCCAGATGCTATATGGCATTCACAATTTTGAAAGGGCACCATTGATCATCATAACAATAAACTTAACAGTTGCTTAGCATGGTTACTGAATACCCATATGCAGGGTAGGGGAACAAAAATGCACTCCAACTAATCAGTAATATTCAGCAATAATCAGTAGTGCCCCTAACACGGTGACATAAACCCCTGAACCTAGGTCCAAACATTGCACAAATTTTTAAAAGGCACCCTTAAAATTGCCTATCAAAAAAATAAATAAATGTTTTATAAATACAAAGGAGCAGATTTCAAACAATAAATTCATTTTAATTATATAATTTCAGCCCCCCCCCCCCCCTGACCCTGGGGCCTTAAAATACACAATTCTGCAAGATATGATCATTTTTTAGGTAGTTCATCTACTTCATTCCCAGAGACAGAGAAGAAAATTTTCAAAGATTTAATGAATTTTCACTATATAATCTATAGAGCCCCCCCCTAACACCAGATCCCTTGACCCTGGGGCCATAAAATTCACAATTTTGGTTGAGGCACTCCAGCTCATCATTACTATGCACTTAGTAAGTTTATTTAATACCTAGGAGCAGAGAAGAAAATTTTCAAAGAATTTTATTTTCACCATATAATCAATAGGCCCCCCCCCCCCCAACACCAGATCCCTTGACCCTGGGGCCATAAAATTCACAATTTTGGTTGAGGGCACTCCAGCTCATCATAACTATGCACTTATTTAGTTTAATTAATACCTAGGAGCAGAGAAGAAGATTTTCAAAGAATTCATGTATTTTCACTATATAATCAATAGAGCCCCCCCCCCAAACACCAGAACCCTTGACCCTGGGGCCATAAAATTCACAATTTTGATAGAGGCACTCTTTCTCATTATAACTCTGCACTTAGTTAGTTTATTTAATACCTAGGAGCAGAGAAGAAGATTTTCAAAGAATTCATGTATTTTCACCATATAATCAATAGAGCCTCTCCCCCCAACACCAGAACCCTTGACGCTGGGGCAATAAAATTCACAATTTTGGTAGAGGCACTCTTCCTCATTATAACTTAGTGCTTAGAAGGTTGATTTAATACCCAGTGGCAGAGAAGAAGATTTTCAAATAATGCATTTTCACTATATATTTGGCCCCGCCCTAGCACTAGAACCCATGACCCCAGGGTTATGAATTTCACAATTTTGGTAGAGGACTCAATGCTGATTACAATCATGCAAATAGTTTGACTGCTTGATGTCCAGGAGTAAAGAAGAAGATTTTTAAAGATTGCATTAATTTTAGTGGTTTTGGCCCCACCCCTCAGGCCCCAGGGGGGCAGGGATCATGAAATTCACAATTTTTGTTCCCCTTCACCCATAGATGCTTTGTGCCAAATTTGGCTGAAATTGGTTCAATAGATGCAGAGAAGAAGCTGAAAATGTTCAAATGTTAACACACGACGGACGACGCACGACGACGGACGAAAACGGATAGCAATAGGTCACCTGAGTTTACTCAGGTGACCTAAAAAGTTGGTGTGGCATTCCTCCTTAAAGTGCTAAAAATTGGCATTTTCCTATATAATCCTATAGTAAATGTACCTGTATTTTGAGACGGTCTCTACCTGGACGGTAGATTTCCCCCAAACTTTGCATGTACACTGAAGTTAATGTAAGTTATATATGGTATAAAAATGAGGAGTTTCGCTATTATAGTTTTCACACAATAAAACTATAGTCGGCTCCCTTAACTTAATTTCCTATAACATTTAACACTTTCGTTGACAAAACAGACTTGCTACAAAACCATTACTGGATATTTAGAACGCAGAGTAAAAATCAAACCAATGTAGTTAAAAATCACATCTATTGTGGATCTAGTTTTACTGTTTGTTAATGACAGAGTGTGAATATAGAACTACTTTAAGAGGGCTAATTCTTAATATTTCCATTTCTAATTTTTTTCTCTGTGATAACTCTTTGAAAGTTAGGGGTAGTTTATTTCTTGATAATTCTGCCGGAATGTAAATTAGGCAGGTCAATAGGTCGGGAGCTAAGGAGGCCTAATACGCATGCAATTCTCGTGCGCATCTGTCTCTGTCTCTGACGCTAAGGAGGCCAAATATGCATGTAAATCTCGTGCAGCTGCCTTTGTGTTTGACGTCGGTTGGCGAGGACTATTGAAATTGGCATGGAAGTCATCATGTGATTTAAATCTATTTATCTACATTTTTCTCTAAATCTACAATTTTAT